TTGAAAGTACCATCCTTTGTCCACTGTGCTGCAGTGTCACCTTTGTCATAAATTTAGAAACTGGATACATGTCAGTCTGTTTTTGGACTCTGTTCTATTCTTCTGGTCTATTTGCATGTATTTGTGCCAGAATTCATTTATTAAATCTAGTAGTCTCTTGGTGGAGTCTTTAGGATTCTCTATGTACAATATCATGTCATCTGCAAATAATGACAGTTTTGTTCCTTCCTTTCCAATTTGGATGCCTTTTATGTTTTCTTCCTGTCTGATGGCCATGGAGAGGACTTCCAGTATTATGTTGAATAGAAGTGGTGAAAGTAGACACCCCTGTCTTGTTGCTGTTCTTAGGGGAAATGGTTTTAGTTTTGCCCATTGAGTATGATGTTGGCTGTAGGTTTGTCATATATGGCCTTTGTTATGTTGAGGTATGATCCCTCTATTCCCACTTTGCTGAGTTTTCATCAAAAATGGGTGTTGGATTTTATCGAATGCTTTTTCTGCATCTATTGATATAGTCATGTGATTTTTGTCTTTCAGTTTGTTTATGTGATGTATCACGTTTATTGATTTGCGAATATTGTACCAGGCTTGCATCCCTGGAATAAATCCCACTTGGTCATGGTGTATGATCTTTTTAGTATATTCCTGGATTCGATTTGCTAATATTTTGTTGAGGATTTTAGCATCTATGTTCATCAGGGATATTGGTCTGTAATTCTCTTTCTTTGTAGTGTCTTTATCTGGTTTTGGAATTAGGCTAATGCTGGCCTCATAAAAAGAGTCTGAAAGTGTTCCTTCCTCTTGGCTTTTTGAAATAGTTTAAGGAGGATAGGTGTTAATTCTTCTTTGAATTTTTGGTGAAACTCCCCTGTGAAGCCATTTGGGCCAGGGCTTTCGTGTGCTGGGAGCCCTTTGATTACTGCTTCAACTTCATCAGCAGTTATCGGCCTATTCAGGCTTTCTGACTTTTCCTGATTGAGTTTTGAAAAGTTGTATTTTTCTAGGAATTTGTCCATTTCATTCGGGTTGTCCAGTTTGGTTGCATATAGTTGTTCATAGTACTTTCTTACAATTCTTTGTATTTCTGTTGGGTCAGTTGTTATTTCATCTCTTTCATTCCTGATTTTGTTTATTTGGGTCCTCTCTCTCTGTTTCTTGATGAGTCTGGCTAAACGTTCATCAATCTTATCTTTTCAAAGAACCAGCTCTTGGTTTCATTGATCTTTTGTAGTGGTTTTTTAGTCTCTATGTCATTTATTTCTGCTCTAATCTTTATTATTTCTTTCCTTCTACTTACTCTGGGCTTTTCTTGTTCTCTTTCTAAGTTTTTAAGTTGTAGGGTTAGAGTCTGTTAGAAGTTTTTCTTGTTTTTTAAGGTAGGCTTGTAGTGCTATGAACTCCCCTCTCAGGACTGCTTTCATTGTGTCCCATAGATTTGGAGTTGTTGTGTGTTCATTTTCATTTGTTTCCAGGAAGTTTTTGATTTCTTTCTTGATCTCTTTGGTCACCCATTCATTGTTTAAAAACATGCTTTTTAGCTTCCATGTGTTTGAATGTTTTTTAGTGTTTTTATTATAGTTGATTTCTAATTTCATGCCTGTGGTCCGAGAAGATGCTTGATATGATTTCAGTCTTCTTGAACTTGTAGAGACCTATTTTGTGTCCTAACATGTGGTCTATCTTTGAGAATGTCCCATGTGCACTTGAGAAGAATGTATATTCTGTAGCTTTGGGGTAGAATGTTCTATAAATGCCAGTTAGGTCCATCTGATCTTGTGTGTCATTTAGGGTCACTGTTTCCTTGTTGATTTTTTGTCTGGAAGACCTATCCAGTGAATTCAGTGGGGTATTAAAGTCCCCTAATATGACTGTATTGCTGTCGATCTCGCCCTTAAAGTCCTCTAGAAGTTTTGTTTTTTTTTTAAATTTAGGGGCTCTTATATTGGGTGCATATATTTTTATCAGGGTTATATCCTCTGGTTGGATTGATCCCTTTAGTATTATGTAATGACCTTTCTTGTCTCTTGTTATGGTCTTCATTTTGAAGTCTATTTTGTCCGATATGTATATTGCTACCCCAGCTTTTTTTTCATTTCCATTTGCATGGAAAAATTTTTTCCATCCCTTCACTCTCATCCTATGTGAGTCTTTTGTTCTGAGGTGGGTCTCTTGTAGACAGCATATATTTGGGTCATGTTTTCTTATGCATTCAGCCACCCTATATCTTTTTATTGGGGCATTTAATCCATTTACATTTAAGGTTATTATTGAAAGATAATTATCTACTGCCATTTTATTTATTTCTACTTCTAATTATAGCAGTCCCTTTAACATTTCTTGCAATGCTGGTTTGGTGGTGATAAACTCCTTTAGCCTTTTTTTTGTCTGGGAAGCTCTTTATTTCACCGTCTATCTTGATTGATAACCGTGCTGGATAGAGTGGTTTTGGTTTCAGATTCTTGTTTTGCATTACCTTGAGTACTTCATGACATTCCCTTCTGGCTTGTAGAGTTTCTGATGAGAAGTCAGATTACAGCCTCATGGGGGCTCCTTTGTAGGTAACAGATTGCTTTTCTCTAGTTTTTTTAAGGCTCTCTCTTTGTCTTAGTTCTTGGCATTTTAATTATGATGTGTCTGGGCGTGGGCCTTTTTGGATTCTTGCTTAGGACTCTGTGCCTCCTGAACTTGTGTGACTTTTTCCTTGACCAGGTTAGGGAAATTTTCTGCCATTATTTTGTCAAACAGATTCTCTAACCCCTGCTTACTTTCAACCTTCTCTGGCACTCCTATAATATGAATATGGTTACATTTCATGCTGTCCCACAGTTCCCTTAGACAGTCTTCCTATTTTTTAATTGTTTTTTGTTTTTGGGTCTCTGATTGAGTGATTTTTTCTACCCTGTCTTCTAATTCACTGATCTGATCCTCAGCTTCCTCTAATTTGCTGTTTATTCCTTCCAATGTATTCTTTATTTCTGCTATGTCATTCTTCACTTCTGACTGGTCATTTTTCATAGTTTCCATATCTTTTTTCATGCTGTTGAGCATCCTTACCATCAGTATTCTAAACTCTATATCTGAGAGATTGCTTATCTCCATTTCATTTAGCTTTTATTCTGGAGACTTCTCTTGTTCTTTCATTTGGGTCTTGTTTTTTTGGTTTCCCCATTTTGGCTACTTTTTTGGGTTTGTTTTAAGTGTTAGGTAGATCCGCTAGAACTCTCAGATTTTTTGGATGGTCTCTGGTACAGGCAAATGTCAGACGCGGTATGTAACTGGCCCTGAGTACCCTCTTTGGAGCTATCAACAACCCTCGGCTTGAGGTCTCCACTGCTGGGGATGGGTGCCTTTGGACAGGACCAAGATGCACACCAAAGTCTGCTTTTCTAAGGCCAGGGTCCCGAAGCAGATCAGGCAAAGACTCAAAGCACCCTGAGGTCTGCCTCTGCCTGCAGACTGACTAATCTGATTCTCTTAATGACCCGCAGGCTGTAGAATCTCCACAGGGTGGGGCGGCTGGTTGTTACCAGTCTCTTAACAAGCCTCAGGCTGTAAAAACTCCTCTGGGCAGGGTGAGAGGCTCTCCAGCAGGGTGGGGCAGTTGCTTCCCCCCTGAGGCAAAAGCCCAAAATTCACCACCCACAGTCTGGGTGAATGACTCGGTACAAGAATCCGGACTGGCCTCACTGTCCAGAGCCCACAGCCCCAGTCTCTCCCCACACAGCTCCAGTCCACTCTGCTCTCCCTCCGCTGGAGCCCAAGGTGAGTGGCTGCGCACGAAACATTGTGCGTTGGCTCTGTAAGAGGGACCTGCATTTCTAGCCGTCTCTCCCTGGCAGACAGAAACCCTGCTGCTTTTCACAGCCAGATGTTATGTGGGCACCTTTCTCAGTTTCGGTGCTCTGGGCTGGGAGGCCCAGCCTGGGGTTTATGCCCCAGAGTCCTCAGTGGGAACCCCCCCCCCAGCTGAGATCTCCCCCCGGACCTTCAGCTGCTGCCTGTGGGGGCCCAGCCAGCCCTCTCGCATCTGCACTTCCTACCGGTCCCTGTGTGCTCTCCCCTTTTCCTCCTTGGTTATGAGGGTGCTCTCCAGCTCGTCTTCAGTTGGTTTTCAGGATGGTTTTTCTATGTTTTAGTTGTAAATCCGGATTGGTCCTGGGAGAGTGTCAGGGTAGCTTCCACTCAGTCTGCTGCCATCTTGGATCTCGGCTTATTGACATTTTGTTAAGAAGTTGTGCACGTTTATTTAGGTATAAAATTGGCCTGTAATTTTTCTTTCTTGTTGTGTGTGACAGGTTTGGGTATCAAGATTATGTTGCCTCCTGAAATGATTTAGGAAGAGTCCCTTCTTGTTCTGTTCTCTAGAAGACTTTTTGTAAGATTGGTGCTAGTTCTTTCTTATCTGTTTGCAAGAATTCACTGGGGAGTTATCTGGGTTTGGAGTTTTTCTTGTGGAAGGGCTTTTAATTACAGATTCAATTTCTTTAATAGATATAGGATTATGCATATTTTTTATTTCTTGCGTAATTTTTGCCAATTAAAAAAAATCAGTTCATTTTATTTAAATTTTCAACATAGTTATGCCAATCCAAATTACGGCCTTGGGCAGTTGGACATATATCTGTAGTTTTAAGATAGATAGACAAATAGAACTTCATAGATTTTAAATGTAAGCAATATAAAAAGCACACATATAGGCAGATGAATGGATATTCAATGAGAAAGTCATAGTAGTTACCCAGTTCAGGTTGCTTCTTGTTCTTTCCCTTTTTAATGTCTAGAAACGACTGTGTGTGCTGCTAAGAATTCACTTTTCTGCAATAGCACAGATCGGGTTGAAGACAGAGAGGTCCTCTTTCCCTCTGTGATACTTAATTGGCGAATATTTAAATACCACAGAGCAGTGTTTTGCCTAATGAATTCCCATTTATGGAATCAATTGTAAATATTACTTAAGAGCCCCTCTGGTGCAATAGTGAAATTGCTTTTTAATGTTCTAGGGGTCTCAGAGAGAGTGATGATAATCATTGGACCAAACATGGGTGGAAAGAGATCCTAGATAACACAAGTTGCACTGATTATGATCATGGCTCAGATTGGCTCCTATGTTCCAGCAGAGGCAGCGACCATTGGAATTGTGGATGGCATTTTCACGAGATAAAAGTATTACTTCTGTTTGAATATATTTCTGAAATAAATCAAGCCCATATTGTCACATGCATTTTCTTTTTATGTACATATTTAGATGGACAGATATGTTCTTAAAATATTTAGAACTTAGGAACATAAAGATACCATTTCATCATGAATATTAATACTAGGAGAGATACAGGATCCTTTTGCCCATAGTTTTTCAGTTCTTTTTAGTTACTGAATGCTTACTTTAAAGAAAATTTTATGTAGCTGATTAGTATTTAAACATAAACACAGACCTGCTCTGCCTGGATCAGAGGTGGGAGGCTTGGAGACTTGGCTGCCAGGCTCTGAAGAGTCCAGTCTGGAAACTAGTGCATTCTCCCTGTTTTGTAGGTGGGAACTAAGAACAGATTGACAAAGTCACTGGCCCAAGATAATTTCTCGTATTCTTTTTACTCTGAGAACACTGCATGCAACTGACTAGGTGTTAACCCGCAACATATAAACCTAAATTTCATGCCTTTTTAGGGATATGGCTGAAGTATCCTGGTCTCTCTAACTAGAATTCATAGTTTAATCTATTTATACAGACTTATCAATTTAGATTCAGCAGTATTTTTTGCTTTAAAAATTTTTAATTTAAGTATAGTTGGTATACAATATTATATTAGTTATACTAGTTTCAGGTGTTCAGTATAGTGATTTGACACTTTTATCTTTTACAATGTGATCACCCCACTCATTCTAGTATTGTCATTTCAAACTTATCACAATATTATTTAAAAAAAATTTTTTTCCATTACAGTTGACATTCCATACTATATTAGCTTTAGGTGTACAGATAGTGGTTAGATTTATTAGTTCTTAAAGTATTACTTATACTTCTTACATTACATTTTTAGAAAAAAGTGAATATAGTCCATAGTGCATAGTCAAGCTATGTATATAGAGTATTCGATTTACTCTCCAGCTTCCTATTTATTTAATATTTGACCCTGGAATCACATCAGAATATGTCGCATACAAATATTGATGTACTTGAGTAGACATTAAAATACTTTAAAGCTTGGTTTTTGATCTGAGAGTGAACAATCGAAACAACTTAAATTCTGTTTGATGCCATATCACCAAGGTGTTTTGATCTCCACATATTTGTAAGTTAACTCATCATGAGAAATGTAAAGACTCTTTCTTTACTCTTTAAAATTGTAATTAATCTTCTGTTTTGTAAGAAAAATACACTAGGTATTTTATTTTGGTTATATTGTGAGGGAGAATGCCATAAATTTAATAAAGAGAAAAAAGATAAGAAGAGAAAAACAGAAAAGAAAAGAAGAATCATCTTGAGTGAGGAAAGGGGTCTGTGTGGAGACATTCCGTTATATCCCTAGGGTCTTTACTAGGCTATGGTTTAATATTATGCCCTCATATTTTCCATTTATTTATAATGAAATATTTCAGACGTAACAACTTCCCCTGTAGCTACCACCCTACTAAAGAATCACCAATCATGCCCCGAATCCTATTCCCTCCACCCCATCCCGAGTAACTGCCCTTCTTGACTCTGGCTTTCATCCCATGGATTTCTCTCTATTTTTCCTATGTAGGGATGTTTTTTTGAAACAATAGATAGAATTATTTGGTATGCTTTTAAATTTTATATGTACCTTATCACACTATGCATTCTTCTGCAAGTGAATTTCCCCCAGAATGTTATACTTACGAAATTCGTCTATATCGATACATAAAATTCTAGCCCACTCCTTTTTTCTCTAACAATGATATTCCATTGTATGCATATGCCATAGGTTCTTTATTTTCCTTGATTTAAATTTCACATGATTCCAATTTGTTGCAGGTACAGTCTTGATCCTTGCCTTGCACACATCTCCCAGTGCACAGAAATGAGTTTTCTGATTCTAGACTCTATTCAGGTGCAGGACTGTGAAGCGTAAGGAATGGGCATTTTCTTTGTTCTTCAAAGAGGCTGGACCAACTTAGAATCCCACCAGCAGTGTGCAAAAGTTTGACCTTATGCTTTACAATTAAATTAGAGTAAGAAATACCCATTTGATGGTGTTTCTTTATTTTCTCCAAAATTTCTCATAAAGATATTTTTATTTGTTACTTAATATTGTTTACATGCAGTGCCATCAGATAAGTCACTTTTTGTTCATGCCAAGGGATTTGTTTCTCTGCACATGCATGCTGTGCCTGTTTACAGTAATTTAAAACGGCTTATAGGCTTCCCCAAGAAACCATCAGGCCTCCTATTATCACTAGTGGCCGCTTCCTCTTTAATTCCTTTTTGTCTTCACTGCCAAGAAGGCAAGAGCTAAATCCAAGGCTCAGGTGTAGAAGGAAATCTGTGTTAGTTTTCCCCTTCTTTTCTTACCTGGGAATATATCTCTAGCATGATTCTTAGAACACCTGCATCAGAATCAGGGATGCTTGTTAAAAATGCTACTTTCTAAAGCCTACCACAGACCCATTAAACTGGAATCTCCAGCATGAGACCCAACAATTCACATTTTAAAAGCTTGTGCTAAATTTGCTGTCTTAAATTTGAGAATCTACTGTATGGCTTATAATCCTAGTTTCACATTCATTGTCATTCTTCCAGTATAAATATGTCATTATTCTAAATCACTTCAAATCCTTTTTGTGCCCTATAGAAAAACCATTAAAAAACATTTTAAATACATAAAATTTGCCTCTAAACTTTATTTTTAAATTGGTTATTTTTGTATTATTAATTGGACATTTACAACACTAGGCCTAAATTCATGCATTTGTAAATACTCAGTGAGTGCCTACTATGTGCTGTGCATTGTGCTATAAGAAGTAAAAATAAATGCATGAAAAGCTGTAAACAGAAAACTTTAGAAATCTTTTTTTTTTTCTGAATGTTGTAACCTCATATCAACCTTTTCCTTAATAAGAAGCATTTTTTTTTTCAAAGTAGAATTATGGCAAACATGCACGTTTGGCTCTAATTGGTGTATTTATATCAGTGTATTGTGATCTATGTGCTCAGCAGTGACCTAGTTCCAGACACATATTTCTAAGGTTCATTACCATCTTTGAATACTTCACTGAAAAAAGATCTGTTGTTTATTGTCCTGATAAATGCAAACTTAAACCTCACTCCACTTTTTAGACTCAGTAATTAAGTTTTAGAAAAGCAATGAATTATTAAGTCTGGTTTTAAAAAAGTAAAACCGTTGGCTTCTCTCAGCATAATTGATGTCTATTTATGTCAATTAAACGTTGGTAGAAAGGGCTTTTTACATTAAGTGGTCCCTGGTTAATAATTTTCATGCCATGTTGCCCATGTAAACTCTCTCTTATGACACCCAGCTTCAGGAATGCCATGTACTCAGAACGGCACCAGTGTGTGTATTTTGAGAAAAAATTGGAAGGTAATAGGCATCCAAATGCTTAACTTATTTTAAATATTTGCCTTTGCCTTTGCCTGTGTGGATAACTGGTTTGTTTGCCCAGTTTAGTTTAATTCAGCAAATATTGACTGAGCACCTACTGTGGAGTATTTGTTCTCTATTAAAAAACACATACCTTCTGGAAAACACATACCCTCTGGAAAAACACATCTTGAATCAGTGCACATCTTCTATTCGGTAGTAAATACCAGCACTAAGAACCACATGGTATGTGATATTTAACTCAATAAGTAGGCTGTTACGAGTTTTATTGGCATCAGAAATGTTACCTATGAATGTCTCTGTGCTTTATTTAGCTCCTGTCATCATGTCATAGCCAACAGGAAATCTTTTTGATGGGAAGTGGTTGTATGAACTTAATGCCTCATAGCCATTTTCGTGTTTGGTTTGCTTGGATTTTAAGTACAGATCCCCTGGAGATACTGTTGTAACTGGTATGATGAAGGAGACCCTTGGACTCTGTATTTAAAAACCTAAATCTGAAACATATCTAGATTTAGGAGCCATTGTTCAATTTCAATTCTTGATATTTTACAGAAGGAAAAACAGAATCCAAGAGATTGATATTTGCTCGAGCTCATAATATGAGTTCAGTTATAAGGATGTATCTTTATGTTCCCCTCTATTGATCTTATTGATTGCTCTGATTAATCTTATCCTTGCTTTGATGGCCTTAATTACTTGTGGTTTTCACAGATATAGTTAAGGTTGGTAAAAAGCATTTGCTCTGTTGATATTTTCCTTTGACATTCTCTGGCCTTTCCCACAGAGTAGACTAGTGGATGTGTTAGAGAGTGATCCGCCTGGTCGGCACACAGTGGGTTTCCTTTGATAGGAAAACACTAGTGTCCTTCATAAATGGTCTCCATGTGCTTTGTAGAAGGTTCCAGTGAACATGGTTTCTTGTGAGCCAGTACAAGTTTGGCATTTCCCTGGATTGCTGTCTTGATTCTCAATAATATTTCAATTGAAATAGAAAGATTGCTACAGTGGTTTTTGCTTGGCTGTATTTGCAATTCAGTGTTAGAGCTTTTGTAAATTGACTTTACATACTACAGTGTGCTCTGATTGCAACTGTTACTGGAGACAATTATACTAGAGAACAGAAGCTTTTCCTTGTCTATTATAAAAATGTCATTGCTGCTAATAAAGTATTTTTGATATTGCTGAAAGAAAGCTCTTTAACCTGGTAATTACTTTGTCTTAATGTAATGATACAATAAAATGTTTTTAAATGTATCATTTGTGATTTTTAAAAATACCATTGCTTTTTCTAATTACACTGTAATTGTTGTTCATTGTGCAAAATTTAAAACTATAGAAAAGCTCGAAAAGGAAAAACAATGAAATCACCTGTAATTTTACCACTTGAAAAATCATTGTTTGTTAGGTATATGGCCTTCCAGGCTCTTAAAAAATCCACACATATAGTGATAAATCATTTGTGATTTCATTCCATTGCTGGATTAATGGTTATGTTTTATTAAATGCAATACAGATCTACTTCACATTTTTATACCTCTTAAACACCTTGCAGTATCTACACAACTTTTAATATTTGGTA